TTATGCACATTCAAAGGTATTTGAGGAAAAGTTTCAAGAAATGACATTTCTGAGACAAAAGTATAGAGTTTTTATTAAATTTCCTTCCAGAAATGTTCCTTCCATTGACGTATGAAACCCAGACTCTTGCCAATACTTAGTGTTAGTACAATAATGATTTTTAGCTATGGCAAATGTTCTTTATTTTGCATTCATATGAATATTCTAAATTCATTTTTTAAAATTTTAATAGTTGAATTTCTTTTTTTTGTATGAGTATTCTGTCCCTTGCTCTTGGTGATCTGGGGGAAAATTTCCCTGAATGGAAATCATGAGTCGTCTTTGCTGACTCTGATTCTGCTGCTTGACAGCCGTGTCATTCGGGCACCTGAGTGCCTCAGTCCTCATGTACACAGTGAGGGCTGCGATGCCTGCCTTCTGGGTCCACTGAGATCTGGGAATGTTGCTTCTACTGTACTTGGAAATATAAACCCCACACGGTGGATCTCCTGGCTAAGTCACCTTTGGCAGATTCTCTAACCTCTCTGTACCTCAGGTTCTTCATCTGTAAAATGGGATAACAGTAGAAACCATGTCACGGGGCTGATGTCAGGCTTCAAGTTAGTACTTAAACACTACAGAGCACCCAGCACACTTAGAAGACTCACTAAGTGTTATCGATTTTTATCTATGTTGGATCTTTTAGATTCTCTTCTCTTCCTTCCTTCCTTTTCTTTTTTTTCTTTCTTTCTTTTTTTGGGAGTCTCACCCTGTCACCCTGGGTAGAGTGCAGTGGTGTCATCATAGCTGACAGCAACCTCACATTCCTCAGCTCAATCAATCCTCTTGCCTCAGCCTCCCCAAGTAGCTGGGACTATAGGGGCCCACCACGATCTTTGGCTAGTTTTCCTATATTTAGTAGAGATAGGGTCTCACTCTTGTTCAGGCTGGTATCCAACACCTAAGCTTAAGCATCCTCTCACCTCAGCCTCCCAGAGTGCTAGGATTACAGACCTGAGCCACTGTGCTCCATAGGACCTTTCATGTCTTTGGTCAAAGCAGCCAATAACACTTGCCTGGGATGGTTGATGGTAGAATCTTAGTGTGTCTGAGCTGGTAGACCCTTCTGGAAATCACCCCCCTCACTTAGACCTGGCAGACTGTGGCCCAGAGCAGAAAAGGAAATCACCATAGTCGCTTAGCAATGAGAGGATGAGACAGGATGGATGTAGATGTTTTCCCACTAAGATTTCATCCCTGACCCTTTGGGGGTCCTAAATGCCTGCCTCCTGAGTGGTTTCTCATAGCATGAGGAAGTCTCCCATGGGCTAGAACATGTTTACCTGGGGGGAGGTATAAGGTCACCCTACAGCCCACCTCCTGGAACCCCACAGAGAGCAGGAAATGCCACCTCCTAGGGTGGGTCAGAGTCTCTGCTGCCTCTTTTTCTTGAGCCAGGGCATCAAAAAGACTTTGGAAAAGGGAGAGGTACCAATGGGTCTCACTCTGCTTGGTCTTGAGAGGCCTTAGAGAGTCCAGGGCACCCCCCTGGACCCCCAGAAGCCTCCTTCCCTTTCCAGTGTCCAGAGTCTGGCAATCCAACTCCATGTACAGGCTGAATCCTCCCAGATCAAGGAGACACCTGCTTAGGTCTGGTTGAAACTCAGGGTTCCTCTTTCTCCCTCCCAGGTGCTCCCAAGATGCAGTGGCAGGGCAGATGCTGTCCGAGCTCTTTACCAACAGGAAGGAGAACATTCCTCTCAAGTTTTCCGAAGACTGTCTTTACCTGAATATTTACACTCCTGCTGACTTGACCAAGAAAAGCAGGCTGCCGGTAAGCTGC